ATCTCCCTGAGCGCAGTAATCCTCCTAGGAGCGGTCTAGGAAGAAATAAAAAATGTAAGAATTGTGTAGTTAGATCCTATCTTGGTACATTAGTACAACTGAATTTCCATTAAGTATAAATGTGGAAAATCTAAGGCTTGTCTGTTGATAAAATAGTTTTTTTTCAATGTCCTAGATTTAACAGACGATAGGTTTTGTACCATGTCTAACTGCATGGCAAAAGAAGTGAAATGTGCAATTATAGGTCCTTGTAATCTTTCATGACACTCATTATCAAACATAGATCCAAATCAGAAACTGAGTTATGGATGCTCCTTTAATAATTCATTATGCTGCGAAGAGTATTTTCATAGCCAGTTACAGAGAAATTGCATACACATCAGTACAACTGGAAGGATATTGATAACTGTGTTTTAGAAAATCAGGCAAAATTGATTTTTAGTTGAGTGCAGCCTATCCCAAAGGCTGGAATACAGTCCTGAAGATTTTTTACTTTAAAAAATTGAATGTGATAGATTGCAAGCAATTCCATTTTGTGATCTTTTCATCATCTGTGTGACTACAATTTGTGCTTCTACTTCAAATTGGGGTGCTTTAAAATACAGGCTGACTTGGTTTGCATAACATGGCAACCCATGGTGTCTTGCTGTGTCATCCAAAACCAGACTACTTCTTGAAAAGTGGTTTATTTTTCAGCAACAAGCCACCCTAACAAGCCATGGCTCTTCCTGGGGTTGTTTACACCACAGTGGGCTGTCATGTTGTGCAAACACAGGAGACCAACTCCATCATGGTTTGTGAGGAATTGATAGCAAGCTGCTTGGCAAGAGAGGCAAAACCCCTTTGACAGTCTTCATGCTCTCACTCATGCTACCGCCCATGACAGCCACTGGTACTGATGCTAAAACAGCTCTTTGGAGTAACTGTCGTTGGTTCACCACCTATTCTTGAAAAAGAATCAGTCACAAAAACGTGTGTAAGTTTTTTTTTTAAATCTTATTAAAAATAATGATCTTTAGGAGGTTTAAGCACTGCACATTTACAGCTGCCTGATATAGGCAATCTTGCCTGGTTGATGTCTTTTATAGTTTTCAGCTGTCAAAGGAAGTGAAATACAGTTGGTATCAAAGATAGAAATTGGCAAGGAGTAGTTGTAATCTGCCATTAGAAAAAATTAGGGCTGGTGGCTCTGGTGGCAGAGGATTAGTTGCATTCTACAAGACACCCAGCAGAATACGACTCATCCCATCCTTGCCTAGAGCAACAGCCACTCACAAGGATGGGATAAACTGCCTTCTGCTGGGCCTTCTCTCCTTTCGGCTGTCATGGCAGCTGGGCCCCTGCTCTTCCAGGATCACCAAGAGCTCAGGGTAGTGGCAGATGTGCATGGAAATGACAGACAGGCATGCAGCCCCCAGTCTGGCTGTTGAGGACTCCACACAGCTAGGGGAGTTCTTGCTTGTTATCATCATGCACACACAGCAACAACAAGCAACAGGGCCACTAGCTCCCTTATTTGGCAGAGAGAGATGCTCCTGCAGTGTCCCCTGGGATACTTGTAGGCAGACCAAGGAGACAGGAGGTGGTTCTGGAGCCATGATGTCCCCTATTGTCTGGATCTTCTGTTGGGCAAACTGCAAACCCTGAGGCAAACAAACTGTGCAGCCTAGCTTTCCGTGTGGTGCGGCTTGTTGTGTTGTGCAAACATGCCCAATGCCTTTCAAATGGGGCTGGGAATAAGCCATATTTTATCAAGCGTAAGTTGATAGCATTTTGCAGTGTGGGAGTGCTGTAACTGTAGCACATAGTTTAACCATGACTGGTCCTATGCTTGTTGCAGGAAATGTTTTGATATACCCTTTGGATGATTTTTACATACCTGACTGGCCATTTTGATTACTTTGGAGATTGTTCTGAAGAAGTTGTGTATGAAACAGGCAGATAACAGGAAGCCTCTCAAGTTTGTTATGAGTTTGTTCTCATTTATTTATTTTAGAACATTTCTATATTGCTTTCCAGTAAAAAAACCCAACAAAGCAGCTTTCAGTATATTATAAAACAATATGTAAGTACACAATGCTTGGACAAGCTAATGGTAAGGAAAAGCCATGGTAAACAAGTACATTTTTAATAAGCATCAAAAGCATGTGCTTGTCAGAGCCTAATTTGTTGCAGAGAATGGCCCATGCCATAAGTCCAGCTGCCATTTTGCTGCCAAGCAGAACTCTGCACAATGTGGCGTGGACAGCAAAGCTACCCTGAAAATCATAGTGAGAGAACATCTTCAGGCAATCTGTTCGGCACAATGTGTAAAGCATTAAAAACATTCTGTATTTTTGTGTATGTGCAACATAAAATTTTCCATACCATCTTACAGTTGGGAAAGCCTTGTATTTTTGTTATATAAAGGTTTCATAATTATGCAAAACTTATGGAAACCTTGTATAATACATGGGTGCTGAGGAGTTAACACATTTTCCAGTCTCAGAGCAATAGCTTACAAATACAAGGAATAGCATTTGCTATTCATCTGTACTAAACAAAAACACAGAAATAGAAGATGAGTGGACTGCATATAACAGGTATTTACAAGCCTTTACACATAAATCAGCATGGCAAGCCTGCAAGAAGAGTAATTTGAATAAGAATATGACAGTTCTCAGTAAGTGGGCTTGAGCTCATGCCAGAACATTACATGCTATTTGATTTTCTCTCCTGATGTTTTACCAAGGAGCTGTCATTGCCACACTCAAAAATCCACCATTTTAGGATTATAGATACAATCCTGTGAACTTTAGGCATAATTTAGTCTGCCTGGAAGTAATGGAACTTATATTAGTTACTCACATGACTTTCAACAATATCTCTATCTGGAAGCATGAAGGGTTTTGAACACCTGTGTACTTCTTTCTGGGTGTGTATTGTTTTGAGGATGGCCTACATTGATGACTGTCTTCAGCTTAGAAGTCTTCCACAAAAGGCAATTAGAGTCTCTGTGTCTACTCAGGATTTTGTTGCAGAATTGAGATCTAAGTTCTGGACAAGACCTTTTGTTTACCTGATTTTCAGCTACATAATGTCTGGTGGAAGTGTGGTATAGTAGAATATAATCTCATGGAAGGAAAAGTACCATTTTTCCCCATTCTAAAAACAAAAAACAAAGAATGGGAAAATGCTCTAAAAAAGCGATCCTCTGAACCTGAAGGATCATGACATTAAGAATACTGAGTAAGAAATTTCCAGTGCAGAAAGAAATTATTATTATTATTATTATTATTATTATTATTATTATTATTATAACATTTCTATGCCGCCCCTTGCCGAAACCTCGGGGCGGCTTACAACATGATAAAATGCATTGAAATTCCTGTAGAAAAGCTCCTAGTTATAGTTATTAGACTCTTGTTTCCATATGGTTTAGGATCTATGTGGAAATTTATTGATAAGGATGTTTTAGAAACACACACCAGAATTTTAACAAGGGTCTCTTGGCACACTATCTCTTTAACAGCCTTCAATAGTGTAATGGTATTGTAGGGGGGAAAACAATGCCTTTTTAAATTTTATAATGAACCATTTCTTCAAAAAATCACTAACAGTGCTGCTGTATTTAGTGCCAGTGGAGACCCGAGTTTGGGTCTGCATCAAAACCCAACAAAATCGCAAAGGAAGCCTATGATTTTGTGTGTGTGTGTGTGTGGGGGGGGGATCATGGGAGTGGTGGCTTAGCCCTTTTGCTTCCTCAGCTGGCTTTCTCCTTGTCACTATAATCACAAATTGGAAAAATGTCTGAGCAAGGACAGTGAGGGAAGGGGAAAACACCCCTTCATTTTTCACTTCTTCCCTGCAAATTGTATCCTTCTGCTGCCATCTTTTCAAATCTATCTAAAAGTTAGATATTCAGTAGAACCCTGAATTCCCAGATGTAGGTCTGCCATAAGCATGCAACTGTGACCACCCTGTATGCGTAGAAGATGTAAAGGATATTCTGCAGTGGAGAAACTTCTCTCTCTGTTGAGGCTCTTCCCAACATTTAGAGCCTAATTTTTCATGTGGAAGTAATGAGAATAGGGAAGGAGGGGACTGAGTTAGCAAGCTTGTGCCTGCTAATGCTCCTCATCTCTAGAGGTTACATGCTTGATGAACACCTGTGCAGGAATAATGCATTCCATTGCTTACTTGGTAGAGTGTATCATTTCAGACTTCAAATCGAGGCTTGCTTATTTGAAAACTCATCAAGAAACTCTGCAGCACACACGAGTAGCATGTCAAGAAAATGCTTCCACCCAGCCTTCTCCCTCAGGATGTTCTTTTTCAATATTCTTTTCCCCCATGAAGTCAAATCTACAAACAGCAGTTCAAGCAGTAGAGGCAAAGAAGCCCTGTTGTGTTGCTACCAATCCCATTGACCGTAGAAACTGGCCTGCATTCAGGGACCCTGGGGGCAGAGTAGGGACAAGTACGTTGTTGAGTTGTCAATAAAACAGCAGCATCTGAGTTTTTGCCTTTTAAAAACGGTTTCAGAGGGATGATTAATTTTCACACCGAGGCCTGTTTTTCACAGAGATGGTGAACCTGTCCAGGCTGTACCACTGCAGACTGAAATGAGTGGCCTCATGCAAATGAATAGCACTCCATACCAAAAAGAAGAATCTACATAGGAAACCAAATATTAAGGAGAAGAATGGGCTAGAACCCATTTCCCTGGCATAGAGTGGCTTTTTCTTAGGGAAAAACAGTCAATCAGGAAAGTCCCTACCTGATGAATGAAATGGTTCTGCCCAGAGAGTTTCACGCCTCAGAAGTAGGCCTCAGCATGGCTCAGGCCAAAATACTTAAGTGTTGCGCTTTGCAGGATTAGCTAGACTGCCGCAGCCATCTTTCTGAGGCTTCTGCTGCTCAGCCTTGATGGAAGCTCACTGTATTTAATAACTGTTATCTCGGGATCGTAAGGACACAACGCTCCGTGTGCACTTCAAGGATAAGCGCGCACCGAGTGGTTTGGAGGTGTGTCCTCTTCAGGAGAAATGCTCTGAGTAGCTGCATGGAATGGCTGGACGATTTGTTTCTATGGGCTGTGCAGAGAGAGATGCGTGGTCGCCTGCAGAGCCAAGGTGAGTGCAGTGGGGAATGCAGCTGGACTTCTTGCTCAGGTATGGCTCTGCCAGGAGCTTTCCTGTGCTGCTGCTTCCAGCCACAAGCACTTAGTGCCAGGCTTTGTATGCAGCACTCCTTGAGAGTAACTCGAGGGCTCCTCAGGCAGGATTCAGCCCGGCCACATTTTTAGAATAATGCCTGGTGAAGGGAAACCACGGTAACAGGCTGCATTTGTCACTGTTTGTCAAGGCTGCGTTTGTCACTGTTTCTGGCCAGCAGCCAGGTTGCTGCACAGTTTTCTTCCGAGATACTGGAAGCAGCCCGTGGATCCCGGCATTCTCTTAGTACTCCATTCCCAATTCCTTCTTTACCAGATTCCAGATCAGCGCAATGAGTAAACCCACCCCCACCAACTTTTACCGTGAGATTAGGAGGGTGGTGAAGGAAGAGGGCAAGGAGTCTGCACTTGGCATGAGCTGCCCATGAAGGTTAAAAACAGCACGAGACAGGCGTGCTCGTTCCAGCCTTCCACGCTTGAAAAGGACGAGAGGTCAGCATGCATGGTGAACCTGCGCAAGCCTCTATTGTTCTGTCTTGGCTGAACTTCGATGCCATCACATGTGATATTCCCATGAATGATCCTGCCCCCCCCCCCTTTGGCTTCTATTTTTATCCACATTTTTATCCCACAAGAACTAACCAACTTTAGAGCAAGAAAATTCGTGAGAAACCACCAAAATATTAATGAGCCCCAGTACTGCAAGTTCTTCCAGAGAAACTTAAGATGCTGCTGCCATCTGACGCTCGCAGGGGGACTATTGGTGTTGGCGCCCTTTCCTGGGACTTCCTCACATGGCAGCCTCATTTGCCCAGCTTCCTCCTTCCTGTTGTTTGGGAGATCTTTTTCGGGAAGGCTTTGGGCTCTTGAGGTGATAATGCCATTTAGCACAAATACAACACCTTTGATTTGAGTATTGAATGCAATCAACATAGCTTATGTTGCAGTCCTTACAACAACTCTGTAGGGTAGGCGAGTTAAATCGGTTTGCATAAAGCTAGCTAGGGAGTTCGCTGCAGAGACAGTATTCAAACTAGACAAGTATTCAGTAGTCAATCTAAACAAGTATGTTTTGGTTTGTGTCTCAGTCTTTTAGCTATTATGCTTCACTAGCTCTTTGCTGCCATACGTTATACAGCAGTTGAATTATATTAGCAGACACTGGTGTGTTTCATTTGAACTTGTTTTTGAGTTTTTAATTTTAAAGTGTGACTGTGTGTTCAGTTTTAAGGTGATTAGAGAACCCCTGCTAGCTAGTCTGGGACATACAAATTTTAGTAATAAATAAATAAGCAACATCCTTAAAGCAAATCATACATTATAAGCTGGATATTGGGAGTCTTGAGTTGCCTATTACCAGCTATGCTGTGCTGTGCTAAACTTCCTCAAACATGCAGCCCAAGTAGAGTTTCTGGACTGCAGCTGGGGCTTCTTGGATAAAAAACAGATCTTTGTTGTCCAATTATAACTGCAGACATTTTTGGTTTTGTATGCTACTTAGAGCATCATTTCTCAAAATGTAGTCTTTCAGTCCATAAATAAAAGCCCTCTAACATTGTCCTGACCAAATAGGTAGCTTGGAGCCATGTGCTTTTCCCCAATTGCACAAAACTATACTTACGGACTCTATGCTGATTTAAAAGCCAACTGGACATTCCTCTTTTGATTAAAGATACAGTATGGAAAACTTGTGTTTGGTATATTATCAATAGTTTCAAGTGAACCACACCAGTGACAGCATGTGAAATTGTAGGCAGTGTACTCAGGGTTCCTTTGTGTTTCTGAGAATGCATTTATTCATACATATTAGAGTTAAGATGTACCACATTAATTAATTTCTGCAAAACCAGTGAAGGGCACTGAGAAGTGAACACTTAAATGTCCCCCTAAGTTAAAATTGGGCAGTGGTTATCAGGTAGAGATATTAGGAAACTGGGATTGCTGGACCAGAGTGGGTTAGCATGAGCCCCTGTAGCTTGCAGGTGTCAGGTACACCAAAACAACATCCTGCCCCCTTCCAAAAAAAAACCTCCCTTAATGTTCTAGGTGTAAAACAAGTTATGTAGCTGTATACAATGATTGCCCAATGGCTCCTTTTCCACTGCAGAGTATGCCTGAAATGAGCCATTTTAAAGTAGGGAGCATGGGGGGGGGGAGACATGGGGGGAACAACTTTGCTAAGCCTTCCAGCTGCTTTGCTACTGAAAAGTCCTTCCTACTAGTAAAATAAAAAGAGGGTCAAGACCAGAGGAGAAGATAAAAGCATCTGGGAGTAGATTTCAGGGGCGAAAGCAGCTGGCTTAGGAAGAACCAAGGAACTGCCCAAGGGTGTTTTCAGACAGAAAAGAAACCATCCGGTCACCATTAAACCACTGCAGTATAATGCACATTTTCAGCCTCTGTTACAAAGCAACATTCTGTGAAGTTTCTGTTTACAAAAGGAGGAAGTATTGGAATGTTCAGTTTATCACTGCTTCTAGGAGGTAGGGGAGAAGGAGAAGCTCAGTGGAATCCAGGGCTTGCAGGATTCCTACCTTGAATAGTAACAGGAGCCTGAGGGCCCCGCAGTAGCAGGTTGAAACAGGCAGTGTGCAGAAAGTCTATCAGACCCTAGCAGGCACGTGCAGTTGTGGTGAAGTAGGCAGGAGACAGCAGCAGGAGAGTGGAGAGGGAACGCAGTGTAAGCCATGGGCTGTCTGGTCATGCATGCCAAATGTCTGTGATCCAGAAGACATCCTGCTGTGTGTGTGGGGGGGGGAGGGGGCGGGAGAGCATGTGTGACTGAAAAGATTGTTGTGAATGGGAAGGAGAAGGAGAGAAAGAAAGAAACATGCAGAGGCTGCAATCTCCATACCATTTGTAGGCAGTGGAGTCATTCCATGACAAGAGGAGGTAAACTGGGCATCACATCATGGGATCAGAAAGAGGGTATAAGCTGTGCATCTAAGAGGAAAGGCTTCCATAGGGAAAGGCTGGATGAAAAAACTACCAAGTTCTGTTTTCTTGAAGGATGTTATTTTGACCAACCTCTCTGCCCCTCCTCCCTGTCCTCCTCCTCTTCCTTAGGGCCTTCAGCCAGGGTAGGATGGGAAGGGTTTGTTTCTGATTTCAAGCAATAGCTTTGGCCAGCTCTTGAGGTGAAGATGGAGGGAAGTAAGAATGTGAGAACAGATGTTTCAGAAGAACTTCCCCATGAAAGCATGAGGACTTCACAGGTAACGCAAAGCATACTTTTTTCTAATTTTTCTGCTCCAATTTCACCAAATTACATTTCCTTTTATTCTGATGTATCTTTCCAGCTGTTATACTTCTGTTTGCTACATGTCATCTTGTGGTTTGGGGTGTACAACAACTTCAGACAGTCTCTTTATGCTTTAAGACTTTATGCTTCATTTTTCATACCATTCTGATTAAGAGATCAGGGTTAATTCTGTGGTCATTATTTTCAATGCCAAGATCATCTCTCGGGCATACATATTAATCAAAATGCCAGTGCCTTGGTGCATGAACAGAATGCCGTTCCCTAACTCTGAATTATTGGCAGCCAGAACCAGGATTAGGGAGGAGGCTTTCTAGACCAGAAGCCGACACCATATTGCAGCAGTCCTCCCTTCAGAAATTAAGCATTGGAGTCATATAATGGCTTCACTTCCTTATTCCAAGAGAGACATGGTAGCAGTGTTTTCTGTGAATTTGCTGCTATCAATGCACTTCTATAGTCATTACAGAGCATCCCACTAAGTTTCTTTATGGAGCTGTAAGTTCCTGGGGTTTGATTTGCACAGCACATACACCCCAACTGTCCTATTCCTCTTGTCTTGGAGGGCCAGTCTTCCATGGAATGCTGAACCCATTTTAACATCTGCCCCCTTCCAGCTCTACTATTCTGTTCTGTGACTTCTGTGGATATGTAAGGGATATCTTTGAAGCCTGCATGTCTAGATTCCTTGGTGTTGAATATTTGAGGGGAGGGGGGAACATATCTTTTTGTCTCTACATATGTACTTGCATGTACAAGGGTAAAATACTTTATTTTGCTTTATATTTTATATACTTTTCAGCAATTATGTTACACTTTTGTGTTGTGTTTTATGGTTTTAATTGTTGTGAAATGCCCAGAAGGCTTTGGCCATTAGGCAGTATAGCAATGTAATAAATAAAAAAAAACTATATAAAACAGTTTCAGTGAATTCCATTACACTGCTTCCATCCATCATCCTCCATCCCCGCCCCAGCAATAGCTTATCCAGATAGCAAATAATGCTGCTGCAAAAGAACATAGTTCAGGCTAGGCTATTACAGAATAAACAAAAACAAAAAACAACACACAGCAATAAAAACAGAGACTTGCACACTTCCACAGTGTGCAGCTGAGCATGGCAAAGAATTCAGGCTGTGATCCTTCAAGTTGACCCTATTTTCTTCTCCCAAATGCTGTGTGGTACATGGTGAAAATGCAGCAACTTGTTTTGAAAACAGAAAACAACATCTGGACAACTCACAATGTAATCAGTGTCTGTTTCAGAGCTGACTGTAATGCTCTCCAATGTCACAAGTTTGCAGTTAATAATTTTCTAAAACAAGTTAATTTCTCCAGTTTCCAGAGATGCAAAATTCATCATGTATGAGTTTTCATGTATATTTGCATTTTTCCTCGTCATTCCTTAAATGTCCTTTGCATTTTATTTTAATTTTTTTAAAGTCTCAATATCCTCTAAGAAATGTAAGGACAGATATCCAGTTATTATGCAAGCCACAAGTCTGATGTTTTCCTATGTGGAATACCTTTACAAATCATAAATTCTGTTGATTTCCTTGAAGTGCACATTTGGCAAAGAAGGCTGTGTTGGTTGAAAACAAAATGTTCTGAATATATGTGTCTCTCCTCCACTATGGAATTCTTTTCCCCTGGAAGATTGCCAAAGCTGATATTTGTGTTGTTTCAAGAGGAAAAGTTATTTTTATTCAAAGTGGTTTTTCATGAGTGAGGATAGTGTGGGAGGGTTTAAGATGACAATCAAAAAAGGGATCTTTATGGATAATGTAGTTTTAACTGTCCCACCTTCATACCCCACAAAAGTACTTTTTACAAAAAGTGCTTGGCTTACCTGCAATCTACAGAACAAGATAGAATATTATCCTACTGTACCTATCCTGAAGTTTGAGGGCAAATGGGAACTCTTATTACACTTCACTTTATGGTTTCCGCACTCCTAGAACCACAAAACATACTGTGGTCCTCCACTAAACACTAGCTCCTTCCCCAGAAGATTAGCAATAGTGGAACTAATTATGCTTGACGGGTGGAATGGGATGAGACAAAGCAAACAACAAAAGACCATCGAGATTTTTAGATGTATTCATTATCACTTTTAGATGGCTTGTACTGAGTACCCCTATATTACTTAAATATATATACTTTATACAAATACAAAGGCACTGGCCATAGAAAAACCCCTGCAGACATATTGGGTAGCATTTTGCGGGGTGATTAGAGAATTTTCAAAATGGAGTGCAAAACAAGCATGTGGATTTCCTAGATCTGTTAATGGAATGCTACTCACTGCTTGCTTTAGGGGTTGTTAGACCCACCATGGGTTGTCATGTCATCCAAGCCTAGGTGATTGACCTCATCTTGGGTCCAGGGAAGCAGCTACTGAGCTGCTTACCAAGAGCAACGAAAACCCCTTGGCCCTCTTGTTGAGCTCCCCTGGGCCACTGTCCATGCCAGCCAGCCTCCACCAATGCCCAAGAGGTATAGTGGAGCAACCCGCACTAATTAGGTGTCCCCTGCTGCAGTCGTGAGCCCTTTTTGGCTTGTTGTGACTTTTTCTACCTTTCCCCCCTTAAAGATAGCATTTTGTAATTTCTGATGCCCTCTCCAAAGTGGCCAAGCAGCAGATTGGAGGGACCATCCCTTGTTCATCACCTTTGTGTGTGTGTGTGTGGTTCAAATGTACACAAATATTTTCATAAGTGTTTATTTTATATTTGCACTTCAGTATTTACATGGGGCTGGAATGCAGAGCCTTGCCTGAGCAATGAGCTAGGAGGTATCTGCTGTCAAAGTGCAGCAGACATCCCCATGGACATGGATCCAGAAAAGTTGCAAAATGGTTTATTAGTGTTTTGGTTTTTCATGGCAGCTGTCAAAAGGTGAGCTGTCAGTGGAAACCAAAACTGCAAGTGATCTTTATTTGTGAGAAGGGAATGATAGTAGATCAAACACTTTGTGGCAATATCTTTTACTTTGGAGGGGGTAGTGGTGGATCTGACTCTATTTGGCATCTTGCATCTTTTCTAATCTTTCCCAAGGTTCCAGGTCCTGAGGAAGAAAGAAAAGTGCAGCCACCCCTTTTACAGGAGCACAGAGTTTTGACAGAGCTAATCATGAGCTTTTCCATATGGGCATATACACATATATAAGGGCTGGCTCACATTCCTGAGCAGCTAGAATCTTGGGCACCCAGAACAAATTTTTGTTCTTAAAATGGTGGACCCAGTGCTGCTTTTGAATCCCCATCCATTTCCAAAGCAATTTGCCAAATCACAGGATTTGGTGATTCCAAATATGCTTGAGTACACGGACTGTTTCCCTTTGCCCATCTCCTCTCTCCCCCACTTGTGCCAATCCATCTGGCTAAGAAAAATGCTCTGGCTTGACTACCTTGAAGGAAATACATAGTAGAGCAGGAGAAGGTGAATTCTGTTCTGGGCAGTAACATCTCATGCTGGGAGTTGTATGCCATTCTTCTATCTAAACATTGCCCCTTAATCCACTTCGTCTCTTCTTTAATTAGGGCTGTGTAGAACACAGTTGATGGACATTTGTGTCAATCACAAACTTTTCTACCTTGTTGCTGGAGCATTTTTTTTTTTGCATAAAACAAAAATCCAAATAGGAACTTTATATAGGAAAGAAAGTGCTGAAAATGTTTCAGAAACAAAACAAAGCAGAGGACCAAGCAGGAGCATGCAGTGATTAAAGGAAGCAACCTGCATTCAGTCCAAAACCAAAGATACAGAATGAAGATGTGAGGTGTGGTTGGGAATGAAAGAGGCCCTTGTTCTTGGTGCAGCTGCCAATGCCAGGGAAGTTCGAATTCTTCAGGAGGGGAGGATGGGCCTCGGGAAAGTGGGCCTCTAGATATCGAGGTGGAGAGGCTTATCTCAAGGCCATGCTCTCCAGGTGTTTGGGTGGACCCTGAGAATAGCCAGGATCTCCAGCTACCAGGAGGAGGAATGGGTCAGGAGCCAGGGAGCCTGATATGGCTCTTGATCCCATGACATAGTGATGGGAGAGAGGGACTAGCCAGGCAGAGGGGTGGCATACAGCTAAGAGGCTCGCCTGTCTCCAAAAGGGCCCTCCCAGAAGTAGGGGGCTCGGGGTTACTCAGATGGAGAGTTCTCAGAAGTAGTTGCTAGATTGGGTTCAACAAACCACTTTGTGCATGCTCAGAGGCTCATTCTGTATTGATTGTCCTCACTGGATGTACATTGGAGAGTAAGGAACTTTTGCCAAAGGACAGTCTGTTGTTTTGAAAGGGCAAAGGGGAAACCTAGCTCCTGACAGGTCTTCAAGCTATAGTAAAACAACATGTGTACATTCTGTATGCAGCTATTAAATATGTCCATTGGCTGGAGTAAATACAGTTGCCATGGTCCAGATAGCCAGTTGTACTTAACTTCTTCCACTGAAATCAATAACATGTCAGCATACTAATGTATACCATTAATTTCAGTGGGACTTAAGTGGAACTGATTTCCTTTGAAATATAACCAATGGATCTTGCTGGAAAGTGAGTGCTGTGAGAGAGAGGGGCCCATCTAGTCACCCGATGATGATAAAACTTAGCTCCAAATGTAAGTAAATGAAAACAACTTGCCCCAGATGGTCAGACAAGTAGCAGCGTTCAATTCTGAATAAAAGCCACATAAACATCAGGGCTAGTTTCTGATGTCACAAGAAACTTAAAGTTGAACTGATTTTTTTTTTAAATTGCAGATCTGTGAGGACTCCCGGTGGGTTGAGAAGAGATGGCAAGGAGGAAGAATCCGGCTCCTTTGCGCCCTGCTGCTCGGCACCATCCTTGGGCTTGTGCTGCTCATTGTCTTCATCACCATTCCATATCGCCTTGGTACTAGAACATTCCTCCACTATGGTTTGCTCTGCATTTGTCCATTTGAAGGACTGCCCTGTTTCACTTGTTCTCTCCCTTTTAGATAGAGGCAACTAGCAATATAGGTGCTTCCTGGGACCAAATAAGGGTTCTTGGCATTTTTTAAATCCTGCAGGAAGCTGCAAATGAGCAGAGGATCAGGCAGTGCTTGGCAACCTTCCTGAAACTGCTGCCTTGCAGATGTGCTGCGGTGGTACTTCCATAAACCCTCAGATAGCAGAGCTACTGTGCTTGCCAGCTGGAGGTGATGGGAGTTGTAGTGCAGCAAGCCAGAGGCTGCAAGATTGGGGAAGTCTGTTTTCGGAGCTAGCCTTCCAACTGATTCGAGGGCAGGGAAGGAGCAGCTCACGTGCTTAGACACTGGGAATGACCTGTGACTTCTGTAAGTGAAGCACTGAGCGGGGGGCCTGTTTGTCCTTGGAGTGTATGAGTGAATCCATGAATGAGAACTGTAAGTGCAAGAAGTTCCTAAAGAAGTTGCAGTCGGACATGCTTATAATACGACCCTCTTCAGACCTTTATTTATTTAAAACTTTCCTATACCGTCCCATACTTAGACATCTCTGGACGGTTTACAAGACCTTTGTGCTGATCATGTGAAATTTGCAGGGTGAGCCAGGTGAAATGTGGGTAGAGATGGCCCCCGTGGATGAAACACTTTTAACAGTTGCATGAGCAGGTTGAAAAGCTAGGGCCAAAGTGTGGAATTTATGCAATTGACCCTAGAAATCCCCTAAATCCATTCCTATGAAGTTAATCCCGCCATCCCCCAGCCTCTTTTTCTTCCTAGCTGTCAGCTGAACAAGCCCAGGCTACCCTGAGCTGTCATTCTTTAGAGAGTGTTCCATCCAGAACATCACTTTTTAACCATTCCTTGGTTGTCTGGCTGCAAAATAGACTTCCCTCCAAAACAAACAAAGATTGTGGGAGGCAAAAAGCAATTTCTCTACAATGTTAGCTGTGTGCCTTATTTAAACTTGCAAAATGGGCGTGGGTTTTCTTTTTCTTTCTTTTATAAAAACTTTGGGAAAATGCCCTGGCCCAGCGTGAGATTCTCCTACCAGCTGTGCTTCTAGGTGTGGCTTGGGAGCAACGCACGGTCAGATCATACAACCTTCAAAGTACTCTGACAAGTACAGCTGATGGGAAGCTGGAGAGAGCCTTATGCCATTATGTGAGTGGAACACAGCATTAACTGCAAGTTTTAAAAACGAGGGAACCCCTGCCCCCTGGAAAAGCTTTTGCCATCTGATAAGGTAAAGCAGAAATCGTGGCAAAATGTCTCTTCCCATCCTTTAGGAAATTATTGGAAAATCAACCCCAAGTTTTGTAAAGACAGAATATTGTAGGGAAACAATGGGAAGAAGGGGATTTCAGCCCACTTACTCATTATTCACTCCAGTTCTTCCCATCCACTCAACTCATCCCAAACATTTTAGGGAAAGTCTTTAAAACAGGGTCAGGGAACTTTTCTCAGGTCATGGAGCCACATTGTCCCCCAGATACCTTCTGCAGGCTAAATGACATCATGGCTGATGTTTTGCTCCCTGACATCAGGTCCCTGACCAACCAGGGTTGGTACTCACTGCTCTGGCCAGTGTCCAGCTTGCCCTTTAGACTGGGCTTTATTCTGCCCAAACTTTCCCCACCTGGAAAAAAAATACTTGTGAAGTAAAGCAAACTTTCTGACTGAAGCATCATCTGCAGGAACCCCAGTGGGAGTACAGCTGTAGACCTGATGATGTCGGGTGTAGGCCCCCACTCTCTGATGCCACCTGATGTGGGAGAGGTGCAGACCCCAAAATCCCCTTCTTTAAGGACTTTGTTCCACATGTTCCTTCTGTCAGTGGTTCCACATTCATATTTATGCCCATTATAACCATTCTAAAGGCAACTGAGACTTGGTACCAAGGTTTGGACCACATCTCATCACTGTCCTTATGTTTTCCCAGAAACCTGCAATACTGCAACATGCCTTCTGCTTCTGGAGAGGTTGTTGAAGGCCCACAATGGCACTGTAGATCCTTGTGAGGATTTCTTCAGTTACACTTGTGGCAACTGGGAAGCAAACCACACCTGGGGAAGGAACATGCAACTGGTGAATGTCTTTGATGTACTCTTGGAAGAAAACCTGCTGATCATGAAGAGGATCTTAGGTAGGGAGCAGAGACAGATAGTTATTGCTTGGCCAGAATTCTCTGCATGTTATTCCTCTTAAGTATGAAGAAAAAAGAGTTGGGTAAGATTATTCTCTGTCATGTCATTATGGTGACAGTATTGGCCACTAGACTAGGTATACACCAACTAGCACCAATCAGGTGGTCCCCCCCCCCCCCATTTATATCCTGCCTTTTTCCTACAAAGGGCTCAAGGCAGCTTACATCATTCTCCTCCTCCATCTTATCCCCACAACAACAACCCTGTGAAGTAGGTTGGGCTGAGAGTCTGTGAGTGGCCCAAAGTCACCCAGTTGACTCCATGGCCGAGTGGGGACTAGAACCCAGATCGCCTGAGTCCCAGTCCCATGCTCTTAACCACTACATCACACTGGCTCTCCAGGACGGTTAGCATCATCCTGTCACAAGAACGTCTTCCTACATCCAGGGTTTTAACTATTGATGTGGCCACATCACTGCTTGGTGACATCTTCCTGTTAGCTGGATATGGTTACCCTTTCTTCTGATTGTACCCTAATGGGAGAGATGGTTTGTAGTGTAAAGTAACTTGAAGCACATGGAGCTGCTCTTGCACTCATTTCTTCTTTTTCATCCTTGCTTATTCTTCCTACCACAGTCCGTGACTGGCCCAAAGTCACCCAGTCGGCTCCTGACTGAGCAGGGACTAGAAAACCCCAGTCGCCTAAGTCCCAGTTTCATGCTCTTAATCACTACAGCACCCCTGGCACCACACAGACTACTGAAGCCAGGCTATCCCTGTCCAGATAGCTGGGCCACTAGCCAAAGCTGGTAAAGGTGCTCTGAGCCACCAGTGCCACCCAAGCCCCAAGTGACAAAGTTGGATCAAGGTGCATCCCCAAGCTACAAACCTGCTCCTTCAGGGGGAGTCCAATTCCATCTAGAACAGGTTGAATAACCCCCCTCCCCCATATGATCAAAGGAACCACTCACCATCCAGTCCATTGTTGTAGCCAGGCACCAGTTTAGCACATCCATAGCATCACCTGCTGATGATGAAAAGGAAAATAGAGTTTCTTGTCATCGGCATGCTGATGGCAATGCACTCCAAAAGTCCAGATGATTCCACTCAGTTGTTTCATGTAGATGTTGAATAGCAAAGGGGAAAGAAGAGGAACACCATGCCGGAGAATCCACAGGGCTGAACCTTATTCCTCAGGCACCTCATTCCTGAGAAGGCCCTCAAAGTAGGAGTGGGATTACTGCAATACAGTGGCCCCACTCCCAGCTCGGACTGTCACCCCAGAAGAACGCCATGGTCTATGACATCAAAAGCCACTTAGAGGTCCAGCAGTATCAACAGGATTGCACCCGCTGTCTTGCTTCTGGCACAGGTCATCATACAGGGTGACCAAGTCTGTTACTGTGCCCAAAGCAGGCCTGAACCCTGATTGAAATGGATGCAAATAAGCAGTTTAATGCAAGGTGCCTGGAGTTGACTGGCAAGCACCCTCTCTAGAACCTTGCCCAATAATGGGCTGTTTGCTACCAGCCTAAAGTTATTCAGGTCATCTGGGTCAAGGGAGGACTTTTTCAGAGGTGGTCTCATCACCACCCCTTGGTGATGTATGGGCCACTCCTTTTCCCAAGGAGGCATTAATCCTCTCCATGGCCCAGCTGGTTGTTCCTTCCTTGCTGGCTTTTTAAGCCAGGAGGGGCAAGGATCCAGTACAGAGGTGATTGCATGAACCTGTCCAAGCACGATGTCCACATCCTCAAGCTCTACCAACTGAAATGCATCCAATAAAACTGGACCAGGCTGTGTTCTAGATATCTCCAAAGATTCTGGAGTCCATGTCCTGCTTGATGCAAGATGTTTTTCCTTGGAAGGGCCCAGTGATGAAATTGCAGCAGGGCTGAGATGGGTCCAAGATGCCCCTGCGGCCAGAAAGTACTAAGCCCCAGACAACCTTGAAAAGCTCTGCTGGGCAGCAAAGAGAAGATTGGATAGAGGCTGTGAGGTATTGTATCTTTGCTGCCGTCACTGCCTCAAAATATACTGACGGGGAGTTATCCTCCATCTGCACTCAGGCTGTCTCCTAAGTTGTTTCCTTGCTCTCAGCTGAGGTGTACCATGGAGTCACATGAACGCTACAACAGAAGGGCGCTTAGGAGCAAGCATGTCAATTGCCTGGGTCATTGCTGCATTCCACAGCATGACCAGCACTTCAGCAGGAACATCGGCCAGGTTAGCCAGAAAATCTACCAGAACCCTCTGGAAACAATCCAGAGCCATTAGTCTGTGGGGGCGGACCCACAGACTAATGGGGGGCGGACCATCTTAATTGGTCCCCCACCCTTGCAGAAGGAAAAACACCTGGCAGGAGACCGCGCCCGCGCCCGAGAACCGCACCGCGCCC